TATTTATTTTAAGTTTCAATTATTATTCTCTGATTCGACATAATCATTGTTTTGTTGGTCATATTCAACCAAGAGAAATTTCAAAACAACGGCTGAATGTTCGCTACACAACTATTTTTTTTCATTGGTTAGAGGGGTCTAACCGCGGGAAAATTTACTGTTACTATTGGCTCACAGCATGCATGCACGAATCAAACAATCTTATTTGCATATTGGTAACATGGGCTTTATTTGCAGTTCGTTTTTTGACAAATGTAAAATATGACGTCGACGAGAGCGATTTTATCCTCGGAGGAGAGCGATAAAAAGCTCTTCTATTTTGACGTTTGCGCGAGCCGAGAAGACGATAGCGATCGCTCGCGTCAAACGTGAAGCACTGATGTATCTTACTTAATTTAATATAAATACTTTATTTTAAAACAAAAAAAAGAAAGTTTAATTAATGTTAAGTTCTCGTTTCATGTCTTTTAGTTGAATTTGTGTTTGCCGTGTTGGAGGACATGCTTGTTTTGATGTCTAATGGTTGAATAAATGTGGCACGGATATTAAGAGTTATTATCATTTATCATGACAGATTTTATAATATAACGCGCATGCGCTAATCATTTGGTCATCCAATCTTCCCACAATAGCTTAGTCATCTGGGCAGTCAGATTTGATTGGCTTCTAGTTCTGCCTTATGTTAAAATTTAGTACACAAAACATTAAATATCAGGGACCATGAATCTGGAAGTAATTATCCAAAATGCTTGAAAATCAATAGGATTTTTCTTCTCCAGAACATGGACACCGGACAAGCGGACTGACAGATGGGGGGCGAAGACAATATATGACATGTGGGCGTATAAAAAAAGTGCCGAAAACCTTAAATCAGAAAATAGGCATAAAATACATTTTTTGGTATACCAATTCAAATTTCTTAAAATTATATTTCAAAAACTTGACATTGGAATGAAGTAATTTGCATGCATTGTAAATAAACAGACATAACTGGCTATATTCAGGTTATGGACCCCTCCCAAATCTGCTGAGTAAACAACAATACATGACGTGCAGAATAATGTATTGATACCTGTTACAGACGAATTGGTAAAGCGATTTTGAGTGATAAAGTGCCCGTGATAATCTTGCGTCTTGTATCCGCCCATTTTCATTCATTTATTCAACTTTTTACACAAACACAGAATCCAGTATGTAAGTCAGTTATCGACCTTGACCTCGGGGTCAAATAGTGGAAAACTATGGTAAATCAAGGTTGTGGACCCTCTAGGTCACAATTTTATTCAATTTTGATGAAACTTGAAATACATGTTTATAACCCAAAGATCTTGGTTCCTTTCGATATCCGCGCATATCGGATCGTAACTTTTGTAATTATGGCCCTTGGTTGTACGAAAAATCACGATTTTAGCTTGTGGTGCCTCTAGAGGTCATAATTTTTATACAATTTAAAAAAACGTATTATTATATCACCGGCCCAAAACTGATAGACAAAATGGCCGCCCTTCGTTCTCAAATAGCGTAAAAATATGGTATATCAAGGTTGTGGACCCAAATATAGAGATCACAATTTTTATCCAATATTGTTGAAACTTGAAATGTAAGTTTATAACCCATAGATCTTGTTTCCTTTCAATATTCGCACATATCGGACCGTAACTTACTGAATTATGGCCCCTGATTTTACGAAAAATCGCATTTGTAGCTTGTGGACCCTATAGAGGTCATAATTTTTATCCGATTTAAAAAAACATATTATTATATCACCGTTACACCCAAAACTGACAGACAAAATGGCCGCCCTTCATTCTTAAATAGTGTAAAAATATGGTATATCAAGGTTGTGGACCCTATAGAGGTCACAATTTTAATCCGATTTTGTTGAAACTTGAAATGTAAGTTTAAAACCCAAAGATCTCGGTTCCTTTCGATATTCTTGCATATCGGACCGTAACTTCCTGATTTATGGCCCCTGATTGTACGAAAAATCGCGTTTTTAGCTTGTGGACCCGATAGAGATCATAATTTTTATCCGATTTAAAAAAACGTATTATTATATCACCGTTGCATCCTAAAGACGGCTGAGTTCGAATTTCGTGAAAATCGGCCCAAAATTGACAGACTAAATGGCCGCCCTTCGTTCTCAAATAGCATAAAAATATGGTATATCAAGGTTGTGGACCCTATGGAGGTCACAATTTAAATTCGTTTTTTTTTTAAACTTGAAATGTAAGTTTATAACCCAAAGATCTCGGTTCCTTTCGATATTCTTGCATATCGGACCGTAACTTCCTGAATTATGGCCCCTGATTGTATGAAAAATCATGTTTTTAGATTGTGGACCCTATAGAGGTCATAATTTTTATCCGATTTGAAAAAACGTATTATTATATCACCGTTACACCCTAAGGACGACTAAGTTTGGTCCAAAACTGACAGACAAAACGGCAGCCGTTCCTGAATTATGGCCCCTGATAGTACAAAAAATCGCATTTTTAGCTTGTGGACCCATTCGAGGTCATAATTTTTATCCAATTAAAAAAAACGCATTATTATATTACCGTTACACCCTAAGGACAGCTGAGTTCGAATTTCGTGAAAATCGGCCCAAAATTGACAGACAAAATGGCCGCCGTTCGTTCTCAATTAGCGTAAAAATATGCTATATCAAGGTTGTGGACCCTATAGAGGTCACAATTTTTATCTGATTTTGTTGAAACTTGAAATGTAAGTTTATAATCCAAAGATCTCGGTTCCTTTCGATATTCGTGCATATTGGATCGTAACTTCCTGAATTATGGCCCCTGATTGTACGAAAAATCGCTTTCTTTTTAGCATGTTCTCTATCCATCTCTCGAAAATGTGGGCGTATCCTGCCTGGCATCCGCTGGTTAGAAAGGCTATAATTTTTAATGGATCTTGTTATACATCCACAATTGTCGCCTCTGTCTGTCCACAATTTGTTTGTGGACACACTACAGATCACAATTGTTATTCGATTTTTATGAAACTTGAAATATAGGTCGGTTCCTTTCAATATTGGCATGGATTATGGTTCTTGATTGTATGAAAGATCAGGTTTTTAACTTTTCGACACTCTAGAGGTCACAATTTTAATCCGATTTTGATGAAACTTGAAATACATGATTATACCCAAAAGATTTTGGTTTCTTTAGATATTCGTGCATACAGGATTGTAATTTCCTGAATTATTCCCCTTGATTTTGTACGAATAATCACGTTTTTACCTTGTGTTCACTATAGAAGTAACAATTTTTATCCGATTTAAAAAAACTGTTTGAATATTTCACCGGTACACCCTAATAATGGTTTAGTTTGAATTCGTGAAAATCGGACCAAAACTGCCGGAAAAATGGCCGCCCCTTATATGCAAATAGTGTAAATATATGGTATATCAAGGTTGTAGACCCTCTAGAGGCAACAATTTTGATCCGATTTTGATGAAACTTGCAATATTTGTTTATAACCCACAGATCTTGGTTCCTTTTGATATTGGTGCATATCGGATTGTAACTTTTTGAATTATAGCCTTTGATTGTACGAAAAATCATGTTTTTAGCTTGTGGTCCCTCTAGAGGTCACAATTTTTTCCCGATTTAAAAAAACATTTGAATATATCACCGTTACACCCTAATGATGGTTGAGGTGAATTTTATGAAAATCAAAGCGAAACTGCTTGACAAAATGGCCGCTTCTTGCACACAAATTGTGTACAAGTATGTAATACGAAGATTGTGGACCCTACAGAGGTCTTAATATTTGTCCGATTTTGATGAAATTTAAAATATATCTTTATGTCCCAAAGATCTCAGTCTCTTTCGATATCTTTCCTGGCAGCTGTTGGTTTTCAAAATTTGGTTGGAAGCAATGGGGCCATAAATAGAACGAACCCTAGAGATTAGATTTCTTCAAGCATCTTAGGTCCTTATCAAATTCGTTCAACACCCAAGTTTTCCTTTCGGATAAGCAGTAGTTGAGACTATCATTTTCAAATTCGATGTGATGCTCTAGAGGTCCCAATTTTGATGAAACTTTAAATATATGTTTATATACCAAAGATCTTGGTTCCTATCCATATTGACACATGTTAGACCCTAACTTCCTGGATTTATGGCCCTTGATTATGGTAATTCATTTTTCTCGCCCTTGATTATGGTAATGCATTTTTCTCCTGATTGACATAATTTCTATGCTGCTTTTATGTAATACGACTGTGGGTTTTTAAAGACAAGTACTTCATATCTGATGGTCGTTTTTTCGAAGAACATAATAATCTTGCTTACACTGTGTTAGAGATATAGCGACTTTGTTCTAGAAAATCTTGACACATGGACTGTACATGGGTGCTCAAATATAAAATTATAGTGAGCACAACAATTCGCCTGTGTATCTGTTATCAGAAGGATAACTCCTGTTTTCCTCAGGCATCCGTCCCTTCACTTTCTTGAAAGCTTCATAACGCATCTATCGTAGCAATGATCTCTGTGTTAGAATTATATTTGGAACGTGTTTAACCAGTGCTATCACAATTGATAATGACCGACACCAATTAATTACTTAATCAATCCAGCCTATTATCATCGATAATCAGGTTGAGTGGTAGTTATACACTCAGTATACTATATTAATTCTGGAATTTTGAATATTTTTCATCATATCTTGATGTCCGATTGGGCACATTCCTGGTCGGACAATTTCTGATGGTTGGAAAATAGCATCGAACATGTCTGAAATATACGCGCGAAATCCCATCACTGGATGTAATCAAACATAGGGAACATGTTTCATATTCCATTGGTGCATACCTTTGAAATTTCTTTGGTATTGAGAGAATTTGATCTCTGAACATTCAGTTCCCTAGACATTGGAAGCCATAATAAAGATGTGACTAACACCAAATACTTGTAAACAATATTTCTAATTTTGAACACTTTGTTTGGGAGATAATTGTCACTGATGGTATTTGATTTTCAATTCAGAACAAGAATCCAATAAGAATTTGTGGGCTTTGGATAAAAGATTAGAGGATTTTGGTTTAGGTAAGAAGCTCTTCTTCCTCTGGAAATACCTATTCCCAAAATTGCAAATTTTGGTAACATTGAGTTATGTTGTTTCAAATTCAATGCATTACCCCAGTGATATTACAGTTTTAGTGACATCTGAATGCTGATTAATTCTGCATTATTGCTTTCTTTCTCCTCATATCTGGTCATAGATGTTTTGAGGTAATCTATTGACTTATAATAATTATATCAACTTATGTATTCACATTAGGTGGAGGAGATGATGAAATAGAGTATGAAGATGATTTCCAGAGTTCAGGGTAAGTATTGAACAAGGATAAGCTTGGAGGATGGTAGGCAGACCAAAATTAGGTTACTTTAGGCGGGGTCCAGGAGATCTCTTCTCCCGGTGCAATAATGTTTGGTTTGGCACATGCTAGAGTCGATTTTGACATATATCTCAGCGGTATCAATAGTAAAACATGTCATGTATTTCAGGCATGGTGCAAAGTTGATAATCAGACACGTAATTCACTTCATTAATATTGTACACCTATCCTATTTACTTGTCAACTTGCGGTCCATTCTGCATGCCAATAAGGAACACTTTGCGTATATGTAAGGAATATTTTATTGTCGGTGAATGAAAAATTATTAAAACATTGTGTAATGGCAAATGGGTTGCCAGGTAGGACCACATGGCAATTCTTATGAAGGCAAATGGTTACAGATGAAAATCTCAGATTTTAATTGCAGCCCAAACTTATGGATATTTAACTCATCTCTAGTTTCTGATCAAAGTTACACAAATTTAATAATAAAGCCATTACCAAATTGGAAAAAATATTTCGATTATTGTGACTAATGAGGTTTTTGGGACTATGTGACATATAAAATTAAAGTATGTACAATTAAATACTGTAAATAAAAACAAAACGTCAAGCAATCACTGAAGCAATCCCTACTAAAAGAATATGAACATCTAGAATTGAACACGTTAAGGAAAGACTGGAAACCTTGTATAGACATGAAAGTGAAGGTGTTTTAATACGAGCTAAAGTCAAGTACTATGTTGAAGGTGAAAAGAGTACTAAATTTTTTCTAAATCTTGAAAAACAAAAGCAGACGGCTATTACATCAAGTAAATTGTTTAATGTCTCCAATAATGAAATTATTGATAATCCTAATGAGGTAATGAGAGAAATCGAGAGGTTTTATAAACAACTGTATTCTGAGAAAACTACTAATAATAATGGAATTTCAAAATATGTGACCGGCCGCATATAAATGAGTCGAAATGCGCAAGAATCAATAATGAGATAAAGACAAAATAAGTGAAAATATTGATTTTGAACGAAATTGAGATTTTCACAAAAATGAGTCTATAAATATACTATCTATCGACACAGAAGATCAAAATAGCAAAAAAACATTTTAAAACACCTGTATTTGAATGTTTTGTAAGAGTACCGTATTCTTAAATCTGTCCTATTTCTTAAAATTCTTGGCGAAATTAGTTAAGACGCTGGCTCGCTAGCCTGGATGTCGGGTGTTCAATCCCTGCATTGGCCGAGAAAGTTCATCTGGATTTTCCGATGTGGTTCCCCTTGTCAGTGGTGCAGAACGGAGGGCCTGATAAGGACAGCTGTCTAGTCATTCGGATGAGACGAAAAACCGAGGTCCCGTGTATATTAACTTTAGCCTCTTGAGCGTCCACAAGATTTTTCAAAGTGATCAAGGGCTATAACTCTGGTAGTAATTATCGGAAATCGCTGAAAATCAATAGGATTCTTCGTCTCATGACCTTAAACACTGTGTATAAATTTAAAGTGAATCAGATATTAACTTTAGGTTCTAGAGCGTCCACAAGATTTTTCAAAGTGATCAAGGGCCATAACTCTGGCAGTAATTATCGGAAATTGCTGAAAATCAATAGGCTTCTTCGTCTCATGATCTTAAACACTGTGTATAAATTTACAGTCAATTGGATATTAACTTTAGCCTCTAGAGCGTCCACAAGATTTTTCAAAGAGATGAAGGGCCATAACTCTGACAGTAACTATCGGAAATCGCTGAAAATCAAAAGGCTTCTTCGTCTCATGACCTTAAACACTGTGTATAAATTTAAAGTCAATCGGATATTATCTTTGACCTCTAGAGTGTTTAAGGTCATGAGACGAAGAAGCCTTTTGATTTTCAGCGATCTGATAATTACTGTCAGAGTTATGGCCCTTGATCACTTTGAAAAATCTTGTGGACGCTCTAGAGGTCAAAGATAATATCTGATTCACTTTAAATTGATACACAGTGTTTAAGGTCATGAGACGAAGAATCCTATAGATTTTCAGCGATTTCCGATAATTTTTGCCAGAGTTATGGCCCTTGATCACTTTGAAAAATCTTGTGGACGCTCAAGAGGCTAAAGTTAATATCCGATTGACTTTAAATTTATAAACAGTGTTTAAGGTCATGAGACGAAGAAGCCTATTGATTTTCAGCGATTTCCGATAATTACTGCCAGAGTTATGGCCCTTGATCACTTCTAAAAATCTTGTGGATGCTCTAGAGGCTACAGTTATCATCTGATTGTCTACAGATTGATACACAGAGCTTAAGGTCTTGAGACGAACAAGTATATTGATTATCAATGAATCTTTATGAATTGAACAGCTAAATCCATGATATTAAAAGTTTTGTATACTAAGCGTTAGCATAGGGCAGAACTTTATAAAAACCAAACAAATTCTAATGGTTTTCTGATAATTACTTAATGAGTTGTTACTCGTAATCAGATTTTAATGTATTATAAATGTTTTATTACCGAAAAAAGTAAAAATATGCGACAACTCTTGTTGACTGCCCAGACGATATAGCTGCTGTGGGCGTATGTTTCGTTGCCTGGCAACCTATCTTTTCGATTTTTTATACACCCACATTGAAATGTCGTATATTGACCGTCCGTCCGTCATCCACAATTTCTTGTGAACACTCTACAGACTACATTTATCATCTGATTGTTTAAAAAATTGATATATGTTGTTTGCATTAGTGAGATGAAAAAGCCTATTTAATTTCAATAACTTCCGTTAATTTCGTCTGGAGTTATGGCCCTTGTTTCACTTTGTTGCACCTTGTGGACGCTCTAACGACAAAAGTTATCAACCGATCTGTATGAAATTTATATGCATCATTTAAATTAGTAAAACAAAGAAGCAAATTGAATTTCAGCAATTTCCGTTAATTACATCTAGAGTTATGGCCCTTGTTTCACTTTGTTGAATCATGTGTACGCTCTAATGACAACCGCTATCATCCGATCTGTTTGAAATTGATATGCATCATTTAAATTAGTGAAACAAAGAAGCCTATTGAATTTGAGCAATTTCCGTTAATTACGTCGTGAGTTATGGCCCTTGTTTCACTTTGTTGTACCTTGTGAATGCTCTAACGACAAAAGTTATTATCCGATCTGTATGAAATTTATATGCATCATTTAGATTAGTAAAACAAAGAAGCTTATTGAATTTCAGCAATTTCCGTTAATTACATCTAGAGTTATGGCCCTTGTTTCACTTTGTTGAATCTTTTGAACGCTCTTATGACAACAGTTATCATCCGATCTGTTTGAAATTGATATGCATCATTTAAATTAGTGCATCGAAGATGCCTATTGAATTTCAACAATTTCCGTTAATTACACCGTGAGTAATGGCCCTTTTTTCACTTTGTTGTACCTTGTGAATGCTTTAATAACAAAATTTATTATCCGATCTGTATGAAATTTATAGGTATCGTTTAAATTAGTAAAACGAACAAGCCTATTGAGTTTCAGCAAATTTCCGTTAATTACATCTAGAGTTATGGCCCTTGTTTCACATTGTTGAATCTTGTAAGCGCTTGAACGACAAAAGTTATCACCCAATCTGTATAAAATTCATATGCATCATTTAAATTAATGAAATGAAGAAGCCTATTGAATGTCAGCAATTTCTGTCAATTACTTCTAGAGTTATGGCCCTTGTTTTACTTTGTTGAACCTTGTGAACGTTCGAACGACAAAAGTTATCATCTGATCTGTATGAAATTGATATGTATTATTTGAATTAGTAAAACGAAAAAGTCTGTCGAATTTCAACAATTTCTGTAGATTACTTCCAGAGTTACAGCCCTTGTTTTAGTATTAAGAACCTTGTGAACCCTCAAACGATGATAATTATAATGTCATCTGTATGAAATTGTCTATTAAATGCCCCCTAATTACCTACAAAAGAACAAATATACGACAACTCTTGTCGACCGCTCGGACGATTTAGCTGCTGTGGGCGTATGTTTAGTTGCCTGGCAACCTATCTTTCAAAACTTTGTCCCTTAATTTCTCCAAGGGGAGATAAGTTAGAAAATTTCTAATAATGTCGTTGAAGTTGGGTTGAGTTATACTTTTACATTCCAAATTACATGAAAATCGGAAATAGCAGATTTTAAGTAAATGTTTCAAAGTACTCAAAGAAAAAAGAATGAGTAAAATAGGTCAAATAGTCACAAAGTTACAGCAATGTAAGTCAAATGCTTTCGATTGTAAAAGTCGGTGATTTCAGATTCATAAAACGTTTTGAAAATATATTTAAACAAAAGCCACCACCCATTCTTGGGGGTGTAGGTCAAAGTTTCAGAAAGATCCTATGGTTAGATTCTAAGATTTGCAGGCAAAGGACAAAAAAAAAATAAATAATTATAACTAGATCTGCATAGCAGATATAAAAGCTTTCATATTTACGGTCATTTCTGTTATAATATAAAGAATCTGAACAAGAAAAAATAAATCATGAAAATAGGTCAAAAACTCACAAAGTTATAAGCCTAAATATACCGAGAAACATTTCACCAGGGCGAAAACAATAATCTGTAAAATAAAGAGAAATAACTGAGACTTGTATTGCTGTAATCTGATTGAATTTCCATTCCAGAAGTTTCAGAAAAATGGATCAAGCCGTTTAAAAAAGAAAATGGCAGAAAAGAACTAAAAAATGGCAGGAAAATATTAAAAAATTACAACCAGGCTCCCACTGACCAGCTTAATCGTTTGTGATTAACGTTTGACCTGAATTGAAAGTTTTGCACTTTTTATACGCCTACATTTTCATATGGACGTATATTGTCGTCGCCCCCATCCGTCTGTCCGTCCGTCTGTCCACAATTGTTTGTGAACACTCTACAGGTCACAGTTTTTATTCAATTTCAATGGAACTTGAAATATAGGTGTATCACCCTAAGGTCTCGGTTCCTTTCGATATTGGCATGTATCAGACTGTAACTTCCTGGA